CCCACCATTGTTTCTTTACATCACTAACGAACCGAGGCTGAGGGATCAGAGGAGATTATGTTCAAACCCATGCTAATTAACCTTCACAGCTACAGAGCCCTGTGGGAGGGGGAGTGTTGCACTCGCAGGGAAGCACGTGCTCAGCAATTAGAACAATTCTCCACATCCCTGCTGATTACCCTGGCAGCTCAAGCAAGGACAGGCTGGTCTCTGCCCAGAGGAGGCTCTATGAGCACTGAAAAGAGGCCAAGCACCCAGTGATGCAGGCTGCAGAAGGGGGTCCAGTGGCCACCTCGCCTGCAGAGCAGAGGGAGCCTTCAACAGTGCTGGAGGGTGCAGCTGCCTGAAGGGCAAGTCCCCCACCTTGTGCTCCTGCCACCTGTGCCCAGGTTTTGTGCGAGGGTGAGGAGCATTCAGGCTCTGTGCCTGTTCAGTCCTCACCTTAGGCTGCCAGGCAGTGGGGCTTTCCCACAAGGCCTGGCACGGTGGGAACATGCACATGGGTGCACACACATCTATAGGCACGCAACCATCACAGCTTCCAGTCACTCCTGGTCTGGAACCAAACCACCAACCTAGAGGTTAGACTCCAGGGACAATGACGCATCCCAGATTCCTGCGCCCTTGGCTTCATTCGGGAGCATTTGCACCGCCCACCACAAATCAGCATCTGCACCAGGGACACAGCAACCACCCCTACAATCCCAGCCCTGTTCATAATCACGGGCACTCGATGGGACTCAGATAGGTCATGGGAGACAAAAATGGGCGTGATTCCTGGGTCATTCAAAGGTGCACGGAGACCAAGGGCCCAGGGCCTTGTACTACGAGCTGTACAACCACGCAAGAAAAGAGATCTCCTGCCTCAGAGAGTTTGCAGCCAGACAAGTGCCGTTACCCCATGGAGCCGGGGGGAGCTGTGACATGAGGAGAGAAAGCAGCTCAACCCAAGGTCATGCAAGAAACTGAGTTTTCAGAGAAATCCAACCAGCTCACACCGTTTAAAAATGTTGCTACATGCTTCTCCATCCTCCAAGGTGCTGCAGCAACAGCCATGCAGCTCTAGTAATCACATAAAGCCAGAAAGGGTTATTAAGCCCCAGGGGAGACTCCTTCTAATGCCCCCATCACAGAACTGCTTCATCCACAGAGGATGCTGGCCACACTGATGCCATTAACACTCATTTCTGGGGCTAAATATTGCCCAAATCCACTACAATCTCTGTGCAACGCTGGCCAGGAGCAAGGGCCTGGGATCCCTTCCTGTTTTAAAGCAGCAATTGCCACCCAGGTTACAAGACTCTTACGTGGGAGCTCATGTCCCCTGGCCTACACTGCCACACGGCACCCACAGCAGAGCCCAGCACAAGCCGAAAGACAGCAGAGCTGCAGCTAAATCCAGGGGCAAACTCACTCACCCCCCTGGAATTACATTAGGGATAAAACTGGTCCCAAACCCTGTTTGACCCCATGGCCGGGAAGAAATGTTGCATCTGGCACTGAACAAGTTGCACCTGTTTGTTCTGGAACAGAAAAAAGTCCTGGGATCGGTGCATACATGTCACCCTTCCCATCGGGTTCAGCAAGCGGCTGAACGCGCTGCCACTTTTCTACCCGGCATTCAATGATGTGATCCCAGGACAAGTTTGCAGGCACTTCACAATGTCCCAGGACAGACTGTTAACACTTCGTAGCCCGTCATAGCTGCAGCATAGCACAGCCATAGCAGCAGAGCCCCTTAGTGAAGAGGCAATATGTGCCAACACAAGGGGACTTTCTACCAGCATAGGTTACACTCCCTAACTCCCCAGTGCAGAAGCCCTATGCCTTGTTGGCACAGTGGTGTCCATGCCAGGGGCTTTGCTGGCACAATTGAGGGGCACAGTCCTTTAATACCTTTACCTCCACCAACAGACTTTGTAGTGTAGACCTGGCCTCTACGCCCCCTTGTAGGTTAGGAGGCCTTAGCCAATACAAGGAGCTCCAGGCACTACTGTAACACTCAGAGATAACGATGCACTTCATAAATGATCAGCAGGAGGAGGAATCATCTAAACCGAAGTGGAATCCATTAGCACCGAAGCTCCACAGCCGTGTTCCTCCTCCGTACATCTCTGCAGTCATCGTCATCCTGCAGAGAGCAGGGTCTCCCTCTTTTTCGCCTCGCTCCAAGAAACACCAGCCCGCCTTGTTTTCACTAATGTGCAATACCCCAGAAACGTGATAATGTCCTCAAACTCCAGCTCAGATTTCCAGAGGGAGAGCGTGAAAGAACAGAGACATCATTAGGGTTTACAGTCTGACGTATGTAAAAAGGGGGGTTCACCCTCAGCAATCAGTTAAGAGCAGCAAATTATCTCTTTCTTTTATTCAGAGAGGTGGGGAGGGGGAAGCATTGATGGTAAAATTAACTGTGACAGCCAGACAGCACACGCTCCCTCTGCTCCTGACAGCACGATTAGAGGAAAATCTTTACATATTAGCAAAAGCTGCTGGAGCCAGGAGGGGACTAAATCCACTTTTATTCCCATGTAGGGTCATCTCGGGTCAGAGAGGAAGGTTGGCTCGGGGGTTATAGCACTAGTCTGGCGTTTAGAGACTTGGGTTTCATTCCTTCCTCTACCGCAAATTCCCTTTTGTGACCCTAGGCAGGTTGCTCTGGGTTTGCCTTTACAGAAGTGTGTTTTTAACTCAGGCTCGTTCAAGTAAGTGAAGCAAAAGCCAGGGTGAGGACAAAACAGCCTGAGGGTGCAACAGCAATGGGCAGGCTGCAGGATTGCCATGGTCAACCCAACCAGCTTATTCACGTCAAAGCTACAAGTGGCTTTGTCCATGCTGAGTTTTCACCTCATATTACACAACTCGTATGAAAAGCATTGTTTTCCACTTTTCTCTCCATGTTTCATTTCCCCCTCTCTACACTGAGATAACAACACAGCCCTGCCTTACAGGTGGATCATGAGGGAGGACCTAGAGAGTATGAATAGATGGCACCAAGTCAACATGGCAGAAGGTGAGGAGTGGGGTCCCTCCGGGTTCAGTACTCGGACCAGTGCTTTTCAATATGTTCATCAATGATTTGGATTCAGGTGTTAAAAAAAAAAAAATGTACTGGCAAAGTTTGCAGATAACACCAAATAATGGGGGAGTGCAGTCCCACTCAAGGACAGGCTGGGGATAGCGGCTGACCTGGACAAGACTGCAAGATGGGCAGATCATAGCCTGATGATGGTTAACACAGAGAAATGTAAAGTGCTCCATCTGGGGAGGCATAATCTGCAACACGCTTACAGGCTGGGCCATGCATCGCTTGCCAGCACCACAACTGAATGAGGCCTGGGGGTCATGATAGACCGCAGGATGAACATAAGCCACCAACGCAATGCCATAGCTGGCACAGCGAACCAAACGCTGGCATGAATCTACCAATGCATCTCAAGCCAGACGAAGCACTGAACGGGTAAATTCAGGTGGAGCTCACATACACACACGTCCATGTTCTCTCTGCTGGCTTTGAAGTCGAGACAGCCTTTGAATCATCCCTGACCTCCCTGCTTCAAGGTGGAAGGAACTGGCTGGCCTGCAGTACAACAGAACAAGACCTCTGTTGCGCTTGGTGCAGGACAAGCCTAGAGTTCAACAAGCTAATCAGGTGGTAGACACAAAATAAATTATTTTTAGCGCAGGATCAAGGCACAGAGGGATGGAGCGACTTGTCCAAGAGCACACAGGGCCAGGAAGTGAACCCCTAGTTGTTGAAGTCTCAATCTGGTGCTATCCCTAATGGCCTTACCTTTCCTCCAATCTATTCCCCATGCTCCTCAAAGGCACCAGCACCGAGACAGTCCAAATGCAGCACTCCCCTCCGGCCCATCAGAAATAATGGCTTGTGTTCTTTGCAGAACTTTTCCATAATTCATACCTTGGCCTCCCGAAAGAAAAGTCCTCCCAGGCATCAAATATTCATGCCCTAATACTTTGTAACGAAACAGCGTCTTCCCTGGAGCATGACCGAACATTCAAGGCCAGCATGGATTTTCCTTTGTTAAAGTAATTATGTTTCTTATTGATTCGGGGTTATGATGAGAAGGCTGCACTCTGGAAAGCAAAACAGAAGAGCTCCCTTCCCATCCCCTCCCTGCCTCTCTCTAGCAGGCTGGGGAACGGAAAAAAGCTGCTTGCCCTGTATCTAAGGTTTTGGGATGCTGGCTGCCCCCCGCACCTCCTCCCAGGAGCAGCAAGTGCCCTGAGGCATGACTCTCCACTGCAGAAACAAAGATGGGCTACAGTGGGAAGTTCCCGCCTCGGATAGTCTTCTGCAAATTGCCTGAAATGGCTCAGGAGCAGGTGGAACAGGTAGGAAGGATGTTGAAAAGTTTCCCTCTTTACGGGCTCCGTGTAGTATCTATGGCAGAACTAAGAGGGAGCTGTGATGAACAGTGCTCCCCTGCCACTCCCTCCACCAAGCAGAAGCAGCCCTGCAGTCTTCTCCCAATGCCAGAAAGATTCATAATGCCAAGTCTGGGAATATTAAGTGCAACTTCCTCCCCCTGCCTCCCCCAAACTGATACACCGGTCCCAGAACAGCAGTGGGCAAACAACACACAAAGTTCCCCCTTCCTCAAAGAACATCTGCTCAATACCAATGGGTGGCTCTAGAGGAAACCCTGGGCCAGCCATCATGGGAGAAACCCAACTGGAAGTCCCCTTCCCCTACTCCAAAAAAACTCTGTAGTCTAAGACTTAGCCGGGCAAGAGAGAAGCTGCTAGACAATGAACCCTGCTCCTGGGATCTCTCCATGGTCTCACTCTCACGAGACAGCAGGACCAAAGAAGTCAGCACCCCTCCCCAGAAATAAGATGGAGAGAAAAGAACATCCCATTGATGCGGCTTCTACAAACACAATCCCAGCTACTGCTGGGTCAGAAACCTTCTAAGAACGGTCACGTTTGCTGGGAAACATCGATTCATCAGAAAGAAAATATTCCGCAGAACCTACCTGTTTCAACAAGGTGCGGCAAAACCCCAGCAGGGTCTCGGAAAACTGTCTGCTACTGGGAGGGGTCACTGGGGACGGTCTCAGGGCTGGTACTCCAAGACTTTGGTCTCCCAGCATTTCTAGGGTTCCTTGTTCCACCATGCCGGGGTCCTGGTAGACCGAGGGGAAGGCACCAGCTTGTTCTGTTGGTGGAGGAAATTTAAAAAAAAAAAAAAAAAAAAAAA